ACCCACCCCTCCCGCCCACTTTCTGCCTTCAAGGCAGGACTCTGTCCTGGGCCCCTGCCCTCTGCATTCTGTCTGGGGTCAGCTATTAAGGGGAGCGGGAGCTCCAAGGACACGGGGTGCTGGCTGTCACGTAGCTCCCATCTCGGGCCCCTGTCTCTTGGGGCTCAGGCGACATGGGTCCCTCTCCTGCCCCTTGACTCCCTGGAATTGTGTGTTAGTTTGCTAGGGCTGCCGTCAGAAAAGACCACATGGCCTGGTGTGCTCAGTGGTTAGAGCATCGGCCCACGCACCGAGGGTTGCGGGTTCCATTCCCCTGGTTGGGGTGCGTGTGGGAGGCAACCAATTGATGTGTCTCTCTCACAGCCATGTTTCTCTCTCTCCTCTCCCTTCCACTCTCTCTAAACATCAATGGAAAAAAATACCTGGGTGAAGATTAACAAAAAAAGAAATGACCACAAACTGGGCTGCTTAGACAACAGACATTTATTCTTTCACGGTTCTGATGGCCAAAAATTCAAGATGAAGGCCTAGGGAGGTTGGTCCCTTCTGAGGCTGCGAGGAAGGGCTGGTTCCCGGCCTCCCCTGCCCGCGGGCGTCACTGGCAACCCTCGTGTCCCTGCCCCTGGACGCTGCGCTCCGGCCCCTGCTGCCATCCCACGTGGCATTCTCTGTGTCTGTCTCTGGGTCTCTCTTATTCTCTGTGTCTGTCTCTGGGTCTCTCTTATTCTCTGTGTCTGTCTCTGGGTCTCTCTTATTCTCTGTGTCTGTCTCTGGGTCTCTCTTATTCTCTGTGTCTGTCTCTGGGTCTCTCTTATTCTCTGTGTCTGTCTCTGGGTCTCTCTTATTCTCTGTGTCTGTCTCTGGGTCTCTCTTATTCTCTGTGTCTGTCTCTGGGTCTCTCTTATTCTCTGTGTCTGTCTCTGGGTCTCTCTTATTCTCTGTGTCTGTCTCTGGGTCTCTCTTATTCTCTGTGTCTGTCTCTGGGTCTCTCTTATTCTCTGTGTCTGTCTCTGGGTCTCTCTTATTCTCTGTGTCTGTCTCTGGGTCTCTCTTATTCTCTGTGTCTGTCTCTGGGTCTCTCTTATTCTCTGTGTCTGTCTCTGGGTCTCTCTTATTCTCTGTGTCTGTCTCTGGGTCTCTCTTATTCTCTGTGTCTGTCTCTGGGTCTCTCTTATTCTCTGTGTCTGTCTCTGGGTCTCTCTTATTCTCTGTGTCTGTCTCTGGGTCTCTCTTATTCTCTGTGTCTGTCTCTGGGTCTCTCTTATTCTCTGTGTCTGTCTCTGGGTCTCTCTTATTCTCTGTGTCTGTCTCTGGGTCTCTCTTATTCTCTGTGTCTGTCTCTGGGTCTCTCTTATTCTCTGTGTCTGTCTCTGGGTCTCTCTTATTCTCTGTGTCTGTCTCTGGGTCTCTCTTATTCTCTGTGTCTGTCTCTGGGTCTCTCTTATTCTCTGTGTCTGTCTCTGGGTCTCTCTTATTCTCTGTGTCTGTCTCTGGGTCTCTCTTATTCTCTGTGTCTGTCTCTGGGTCTCTCTTATTCTCTGTGTCTGTCTCTGGGTCTCTCTTATTCTCTGTGTCTGTCTCTGGGTCTCTCTTATTCTCTGTGTCTGTCTCTGGGTCTCTCTTATTCTCTGTGTCTGTCTCTGGGTCTCTCTTATTCTCTGTGTCTGTCTCTGGGTCTCTCTTATTCTCTGTGTCTGTCTCTGGGTCTCTCTTATTCTCTGTGTCTGTCTCTGGGTCTCTCTTATTCTCTGTGTCTGTCTCTGGGTCTCTCTTATTCTCTGTGTCTGTCTCTGGGTCTCTCTTATTCTCTGTGTCTGTCTCTGGGTCTCTCTTATTCTCTGTGTCTGTCTCTGGGTCTCTCTTATTCTCTGTGTCTGTCTCTGGGTCTCTCTTATTCTCTGTGTCTGTCTCTGGGTCTCTCTTATTCTCTGTGTCTGTCTCTGGGTCTCTCTTATTCTCTGTGTCTGTCTCTGGGTCTCTCTTATTCTCTGTGTCTGTCTCTGGGTCTCTCTTATTCTCTGTGTCTGTCTCTGGGTCTCTCTTATTCTCTGTGTCTGTCTCTGGGTCTCTCTTATTCTCTGTGTCTGTCTCTGGGTCTCTCTTATTCTCTGTGTCTGTCTCTGGGTCTCTCTTATTCTCTGTGTCTGTCTCTGGGTCTCTCTTATTCTCTGTGTCTGTCTCTGGGTCTCTCTTATTCTCTGTGTCTGTCTCTGGGTCTCTCTTATTCTCTGTGTCTGTCTCTGGGTCTCTCTTATTCTCTGTGTCTGTCTCTGGGTCTCTCTTATTCTCTGTGTCTGTCTCTGGGTCTCTCTTATTCTCTGTGTCTGTCTCTGGGTCTCTCTTATTCTCTGTGTCTGTCTCTGGGTCTCTCTTATTCTCTGTGTCTGTCTCTGGGTCTCTCTTATTCTCTGTGTCTGTCTCTGGGTCTCTCTTATTCTCTGTGTCTGTCTCTGGGTCTCTCTTATTCTCTGTGTCTGTCTCTGGGTCTCTCTTATTCTCTGTGTCTGTCTCTGGGTCTCTCTTATTCTCTGTGTCTGTCTCTGGGTCTCTCTTATTCTCTGTGTCTGTCTCTGGGTCTCTCTTATTCTCTGTGTCTGTCTCTGGGTCTCTCTTATTCTCTGTGTCTGTCTCTGGGTCTCTCTTATTCTCTGTGTCTGTCTCTGGGTCTCTCTTATTCTCTGTGTCTGTCTCTGGGTCTCTCTTATTCTCTGTGTCTGTCTCTGGGTCTCTCTTATTCTCTGTGTCTGTCTCTGGGTCTCTCTTATTCTCTGTGTCTGTCTCTGGGTCTCTCTTATTCTCTGTGTCTGTCTCTGGGTCTCTCTTATTCTCTGTGTCTGTCTCTGGGTCTCTCTTATTCTCTGTGTCTGTCTCTGGGTCTCTCTTATTCTCTGTGTCTGTCTCTGGGTCTCTCTTATTCTCTGTGTCTGTCTCTGGGTCTCTCNATCGCTGTGTTCACCATCCTGGCCTCCATCTACTTCTTCAACAAGGTGAGCAGAGGGAGAGGGCGGCTCCAGATCTCCAGGCCTCCGTCGGTGTGGTCCCCCGTTAGCGCCCTGGCCTCTCCTCCCCATGTCTCTCCTCCTCTCTCAGGCTCAGCGATGAGAAGAAACGGGACAGCTTAACCCAAGAGCCCCGCCTCTGGCCCACCATGACTGTGGCCTCTGAGACCAAATAAATGTGACTCAATCAGCACAGCCAGCTCCACCCCAGCTCTGTCTGCGGGCCAGGCTCTGGGTCTGGGGAGGAGGGGCTGGGGGCCTGGACTCCTGGGTTTAGGGAGGAGGGGACTAGAGGCCAGGCTCTGGGTCTGAGGGAGGAGGGGCTGGGGGCCTGGGCTCCTGGGTCTGAGGGAGGAGGGGCTTGGGGGCCCATACTCTCAGGTTTGAAATGAGAGGCCCAGAATTTGAGCTGGGTTTTGAGGGATGAGTAGGAGTCTATCAGTATTTAGACAGGGAGAAGGGTATTCCAACTTTGGATGCAAGAGCATAGAGGAGAAAAAGAGCAGTGCCGACTCGCCACCTGCCAGATTGTATTCCTGCTCTCTGAGTCCTGGTTTTCTTATCAGTCAGACAAAGATTAAAAAATCTTTCTCCCCTGGGTCCCAGAAGGCCACAGTAAGGACAGCCTGAGATCCAAGATGAGAATGGAAGTTGTAAGAGGCAAATGGTCTTTAAGTTATCATCTTTTTTGTTATAGCAATACATCTTTCTCTTTTCTCAGCAAACTTCTATTCAACCTTCAACACCCACTGTCAATGCCCCTGCCTGCACCCAGGACACCCAGACACCCAGGACAGAGTCTGTTACGGGCTCCCTGGGTAACAGGCTCCTCCCCACTCCCTGCCTCCACCCCCAGCACATGGAATTCCCTGGGTGATACCTCAGCCTTTGGTTGAGTTTTACCCACTTTCTCTTTTAAAAAAGAAACCATTTCATTTCAACTAGAGATCTGAGAAGGCGGCTTCTTAATAAGGTGGCCAAACATGCTGGGTTTCCTGGGAAAGGCCTAGCAAATTCTAACTAGGGATGAAACCATAGTTTTACTACCATTTTGGCTGGAGGGGGGGGGTTACCAACACTTTGGGCCCGTTCCCGCCTACTTGGTACCGGTGCCGCTGACGCTGGAGCGTCCCGGTTCCGCCGTCCTACCTAGAGGAGACCTTGGTTGCAATACTCGAGTCGCCACGTGGGGGCAGTGTCGGACTGCTTTCCCAGCCAGAAGCTGGTCCCGCGCCTCGGGGAGAGTGGGTTCCCCCAGACCAGGATTCTGAGGGTGGGGAAAGGGGGAGGGGCCCTGCTGCTCCCACCCCCTCGCCTCCCCACCTCCCTGCCTGGGCTACCTTGGGCCCGCCCCAGGCCCCTGGCTCTTCTCCACCCTTCACAGGAGTTCCTCTCTCCCTGCTCACAGCCCTTCCATGCCCCTCCCACACCCGGACAATAGTCACAGCCTCTCAGCTGGCATTGAGGCTGTGTGACCTGGCTCCCTCACCTCTTTCTTTTTTTAAAAAAAATTCATCCACTTCCTAAGCCCCCTCCATGGCATATTTTTAACCACATGTAACGCAGAGATTTTTTTTTTAATGCCATGCCCCAGTGCCTTTGCACATGCTGTGCCCTCTGCCTGGAGTGTCCTTTCCCGCCTCTGTGTCAGCCCTTCTTGAAAGCCTCCTGAAAATTCCTCTCTACTAGAGCCTGTCTCCTTTCCACCTCCCGCCCCCTACTGCTATCCCCTCCCATCCTCAGTGGCTATAACTGGAAGCTAGGGGGGAGGGGGAGGGCACCAGACTAGAATCAGACTCCTGCTGGATCCCCAGTGAATCTTGGCTGTCGGTGTTTGTAAAACAATTTATTGACAAAGAANCTTCGTACAAGGACATCAGTTATGACCTCATTTTAACTTGTTTACATCAGCAAAGACCCTGTTTCCAAATAAAGTCACATTCACAGATCCCGGCGTCAGGACTTGAACAAACCCTTGACAGGGTGGTAACGGCTCCCCGCTTTGCTTAGCGGGGGGCACTGTGCCCTCAGCCGCCTCCGAGCGTCGCCTCTGCGTTAAACTCTCTCCCGTTAAACCCCTTCGAGCTGTGCCTGCAGCGCTCTGCTGTGACCCAGACGGGACCCTTCCAGACTTTTCATGCACTTGTTTCATATACATGCTTTTTGCCAAAATGAGATCATCCTGGACATGCAGTCCTGTAACCTGTGTCTTCCAGTTAATGTCTCCTTTCTGATTCCCACCCTCCTTTCAAACGTCTTCGATTTCCCCCTAAACATCATTTACGGCTGCTTAGTCCAAAGCAGGACCCAGGTCAGATCACCCATCGAACCCGGTCACATGTCTCTCATGGATTTTTTACAATACAGAGAAAGTCCACCTGCCTTTGGGCTTCTTGTTTGTTTGTTTTGTGAATGTCTTGTCTTCTGGAACTTTCTAGTTGGCGCCCTGATGTATCGTTTCACAGCCGATTATGTTGTATGAAGTCACTAGGGACACTGAGTTAGCAAATCCTGATCACTGCTGCTAGGGGAAATACATCACATAATATATATCTATATTTTTTTTATATATGCCTGAATATATCTATATATATATATGATATAGATAGAGAGGTACCCAGAGATAGAGAGAGAGGTAGAGAGAAAGAGAAAGAGAGAGAGAGAGACAGAGAGAGAGATCTCCACAAATGTCCACAAATGACGACAGCGCCACGGGGTTAGAAACAACTTTCAGCAAGTAGACGAATCCACAAAGACGGGCTCCCTATGGCCCAGAGGTGGGAAAGCTGCTGCCACCCCACGATTTCTACCGTTATAACTGCCTCACCCACCCCCAAAACCGGTGACCAGGCTCCGGCATGTGGGTCCACCTTCGGCTGCGCCTCTCAAGGAAAACTGCGCCAGGCCACCTCTCCCTGCTGCAGCTCCTCCTGCCCCCGGGCCGACCCTGCCTGCCCTGCTCGCAGCCCGCCTGGCTCCCCAGCACCCTCGGGGGGAGGGAGACAGACTCCTTAGTGTGGTGTTGGGGGTCTGGACTCCGGTTTCTCAAACGTCCTGATGCCAAGTTCAGATACTTCATGGGACATTCTGCACCCAGATCCCCTCCCCGCCCAAGCCTCTGCCCCAGTGTCCCCTCTACCCAGAATGCCTTTCTCCATCACCACGGCCACCATTCTGGTCTCCTAGACAACCCCCTCTCAGGCTCTGGTGGCTGAGCTCCCCTCTCTGTCTCAAAGGCCCCAGAAACGCAGAGGGAGGTGAAGCCAGGGTGTGGCTGAGGACCCATGGCCATGAACTTTCAAGAGGTGAGGGCAGATCAGGTGGGGAAGGG